TGAAAATCAGCTGAAATCTGTTGACATGATTTTATCAGCCTGGGAAATGCCAATTCCCATCTCACTTGCTTCAATCTTATCGCAATTCTCCACACCCAAGATCACTCCTACTTAATTGCCACAATTTAGAAACCACCCATAGCCTTCACAGAAGGACTCTGGGCAGTATACAAATAAAATATTAAAACAAAAATTATATGTAAAGTTTAAGAGACAAGAATAGTTAAAATTTAACATTAAAGGTATAGTGAGTTAGTGGATTGTTGTCACTGTTACAACGCTATAAAGTGACTGATTTATTAGATTTATATCCTGCTTTTCGTTCAGGAGCTGAAGGTATTGTTTGCCACAGTATTTTTCCTATTTTCCCTACTACAACCCTGTGAGGTAAGTTGGGCAGAAAGAGATTAGCTTAAAACCATGTTACCAACTTAACAACTGCAGTGATTCACTTTACAGTTGTGGCAAGAAAGGTTGTCAAATGGGGAAAAACTCAATAACTGTCTCACCGAGCAACAGAAATTTTGGGCTCAATTATGGTTGTACATCCAGGACTATCTGTATTAGTATGCTTCTGTGGCTGAAGCTGAAGATCTCCCTGCTCTAATTCAAGATTTCAACCACTATATTACAATTCATCTACAAATTCATCAGTAGATCAGATCTACTTTTAGCCATCCTGCCTTAAAGACTATCCCAACCTACTTCAATTTAAAAGTAACTATCCAAATAATTACCATCTTTTTTATGGACACAACACATCCTCCCTAGCTTTCTAATTCACTAATCTAAACAAAATACAAAATACAAATTTGGCTGAATGTTGCAAGAACAAATATAGTAATGTTTATTCCAGAACTCTGGATAAGGGTAATTGCAATTCCACTTCAGTTTTACCTCATTTGTAAAGTTACTGAGTACTACATCTCTATCGCCCCAATTGCCTATCTTAATATAATTAACATTAAATTATTAAAACGACAGCTATTCCACGAGGTTGTGCTGCAGATATCTTACAGGATGAACCTCTTGGAATTTGGTACTAATACAAATATGTCGAGGACTCCTAGTAAGCCACTTACTTACCCACAGTTGCTTGAACGAAGTTAGCCTAACTGGCTGGCTTTGCAGCACTTAGTAAATCACAAACTCTTACATAGCTGAAGCTCCCGACTTACTAGCCAACTGACCACGTTTTCGTTTTTAACGCGTGATGCAATCTAGCAAACACGTTAATAGACTCCACTCTCCAGACTAGGTGATTCAGACAGCCGGACTCTTCGCGCTTTTTTTTTTTTTTTTTTTTTGGCAAAGGGGCGATTCCGAGGAAGTTCTTAAGGTTTCAGCTTTTTAGAATTAAATCACCACTTTGCAAGTGAGTGGGAGATGCTCTTTGGATTCTTTTTTCTATTCCCCCTGCGCTCACTCTATCACAAAATCATAGTCAACCGCCTGTTTTAATAATTGGGCCAATTAGGATTTCAAAAGTAATACAAAAACGATCGAACACTCACCCTAACGGGAGAAGGAGATACTCGCAGCACGCAACCAAAATTGCGCCCTTAACACAATCACGTGTAATATTAAACCAATCTAAGCCTGCGCGGGAATTTAACGGCCAAAGAGTAGTTCTCAGATCTGATTGGGCGGATGTGAGAATGGCTCTTGGGTCTTTGAGTCAGAGCGTTCTGTACCTTTCGGTTTTGGGGGGGAAATCCCTTCAACCCATTTGGCTATTGTGTGCTATGATGGGCATGTTCCCTCACCATGGTTGCTACAGAACACTGTATGTTTCATCTTAGGCAGCGGTCTTCAAGCTTGGCTCTTTGATGACTTGTGGACTTCAACTCCCAGGATTCCTCAGCCAGCGTGCCTGGCTGAGGAATCCTGGGAGTTGAAGTCCACAAGTCATCAAAGGGCCAAGCTTGAAAACCCCTGATCTTAGGTAACAATTGCCTGATCACCCTTAGACAGAATCTTCCTGGGTAAAACCGCCTCTTTTTCCCATATTCATGAAGTGTTGTGTATACTTTGTCAGTGATTTTTGGAAAAGTCTTTTTTTCTTTTTAAATTAGCCTTACATAAACAGTGTCCAGTGATCCTTTTTCACTTGGGTTTCTGGCTACTTTTTAATCAGGCAGAAATAGCAAAGCTAGCTTGCAAGCTTTCAGGATCAAAATGCAAACAATCACCTTAATGCAGCATTGGTGCCATCAAAACTAAGCTAGTTGGAAATAGTTTAAACTGCCAGATCATCATCATCATCATTTTAACCATTGTCTATCCCTATCTTTTATGACTCATGGACTTCAACTCTCAGAATTCCTGAGCCAGCATATAGCTGATCAGGAATTCTGGGAGTTGAAGTCCACAAGTTATAAAAGAGCCAAGGTTGCCTACCCCTGGTCTATCCACTACAGGATGAAGGCCTCTTTGGCATGTTTCCAACCAATACGGATCTGAGCTTTTTTTTGCCAATTAGGCCATCTTGGATTAACATTTTCTTTTGCTTACTCATGTGACAGCAAAAATTAGATATATGGTTTTTTCCAAATAGACCGCTAAAATGTTTATTACAAACAACCAACTACGGTAGTGAATTACACAACATGACTTCTAAGGTCCTGCAGTATAATTCTGTAACTCCTGAATTTTATCTGCTTATGGGAATGGAATACACATCTCAAAAGACTCAAAAAAGAAAGTGAATGTGATAAAGAAGCAGGAGAGTCTACTGATCAGGTGTTGTGGTATATGTCAGGGCTTTTCAACCTTTTCACCCATTTTACCACTTTTAGGATATGGCAACATCCGAGTACCACCAGTCACCTAGCAAGGTGTCAAAAACTTGATGACCCAAAAAAAAAGGGAAAAAAATGATAAAGTACGACTTACAACTGTTCAAAGTTACAATGGCACTGAAAAAAGTGCCCCCCAAGCCACAGCCGAGCAAGATACCTGCCCACCCGCCCAGCGGCGCTCTTTCTCCTGTCTGAGGTTTTCATTGTTGTGACCATTTCTGTTGAGGATTGGCAGCGGGGGTGGGGTGGGGGAGTGTTTGGTTTTTATTCCCCCCGTCTGCTGGGTGGTTGCAGCAGGTTTTGGTCACTTCACATGACCCTGGGACACTGTGACCGCCATAAATATGAATCAGTTGCCAAGCATCTGAATGTAAATCACAAGACCCTGGAGATGCTGCAACATTCCAGCTGATTGGTGCTTATTCAGGGCTCAGCAGAAGCATCAGGATCAGTGCCGAGCTCCAGCTGGAGCCTGGCGCTGATCCTGGCGCTTCCGCTGAGCCCTGACAGCCCTGCAGCTCCAGCCATCTCTCGCTCAGGCTTGTGCAGTGCTGCCAACGGTTCAGCTCATTCCCCTCCCCTGCTACCACTTTTCTAGGATGGTCGCATACCACCTGCCAGGTGCCAAAATACCACAGGTGGTACCCGTACCACTGGTTGAAAAGCCCTGGTATATGTCATCTAGAAACGAAACCTGACCAATACAGAATACAGAATAACAAAGTTGGAAGGGATCTTGGAGGTCTAGTCCAACCCGCTGCTCAGGCAGGAAACCCTACCATTTCAGATAACTGGTTCTCCAATCTCTTCTTAAAAACTTTCAGTTTAAGAGTATTCACAACTAAGTGTAATTGCCAAACCTAAAACCTGGACAGTGACTTTTATCAGCTTCATTTCTACCTGGTTTCAATATAGCAGACAAGAAGCCTAAATCTGCTGGGCAGAATTGTTTTAAGAACTCCACAGTGAGGGTAAAGATATCTTTTTTTGAAAATTAGCCAATTAAAAGGTAAAGGAAGCAATTTTTATCATCTGGTGAAACAGAACTAATAGTTATGCCAAAAAAAACCCCTCCTATTGTTTGTCAAATTCAAATATAACACTGTTCAACAGGAAATTCCTTGAAACACTTCACTTCAACGTATTGCAACAGATTTTGGGGAGGAGGTTGAGTTGGTACATTCCAACAAAACATCATTGCGTTGCCATAATTCAACCTTCAGATATCTTTGCCTGTCATAAATCAATCTCCAAACATTTCAACTGTTTTACTCAAATACTGAATGTGCATTTCTCACTTTAAGGGGGCAAAGAATAGAGCTATTTACATTTATTAATGCCATCTGCTATTCACACTATCAGTTTCTGCTCTCTGAATAAGCTTATGGGATAGTCTAAAAAGGCTAATGAAATATGCATTACCAATTCTCTTACATTTTCTTGTTTCACCATTTCAAAAAGATTGTTAAGAGAAAAATAGAAATAGTTATAATTTTAAGAACTCTTATCTAGCAATAGAGTCCTCATTAACAAATGCTGAGAAATATTCTGACTCTTGAAATTCTAAGTCCATAAGACAAGTAAAGTACTGTTATTAGAGATTAAGATCCATTTTAGCTATCATCTATAAGGCTGATATAATAAGGGATATCCTATTTAAAAAAACATGTATGTTGTCCAATCAAAACCATCTACTAATATGTCAACCACACTTTTACTGCATTATTTTTAGATAAATCAATTGTTCAGGCAGTTCTCGGTTTACAAAAGTTCCTTTAGTGACAGAAGTTACAATGGCATTGAAAAAAGTGACATGACCATTTTTCACACTTACGATCATTGCAGCATCTCCATGGTCATGTGTTCAAAATACAGACACTTAGCAACTGACTCATATTTATGACAGTGGCAGTGTCCCAGAATCATGTGATTACTTTTGTAACCTTTTGACAAGCAAAATAAATGAGGCAACCAGATTCACTTAACAACTGTGTTATTAACTTAACAACTGCAGTGCTTCATTTAACAACTATGGCAAGAAAGGTCGTAAAATGGGGCAAAATTCACTTAACAACTGTCTCACTTAGCAACAGAAATTTTGGGCTCAATTACTATTTGTAATGATTATTTTTTATTTATTATCAATATTTTCAAATCTTGAAATACAGAAAACAAAACCACTCTTTTCATAAAATTAAAATCTTTATTAACGATAAAATGTTCTAAAGAAGTAGTTCCCAATGTTCATATAATAGTTTCTGCCATGAAACCTGAAGTTTTTCCATTGCTGATTTTCAAGTTTGCAGAATTAGATGGATAGCATGATTTTGCTTCAATGCCTGAAAAGAAGTATACTATCATTTTATATATATATAACAAAATTGGCATAGAAAAATAAACATATTGTATCTATTCACTGAAGATAGATAGACAAATAGAGACAGAGATGCTGATAAATTACAGTGAAACACAAATGTATTATTGATGATGTTGAGTCTTTGTTGGCATAGGATGTTTGCCTTTCTGATCTCTTGCCTTCTCTTGTTTCAACTGTAATGAAAAAAAAATCTGTATAAAATTACTTGAAACATAAGCTGTGCTTGTTTTGTGCAAACTACAGAAAACAAATTGCAGCTAATCCCATTATTGCCATATTTTCTTATCCTAGAAATTTCCTTTGCAGGATGCTAGGTTACATCTACATCCAAGCATCCATATGAATTGACACAAACCCACAAATTGAAATGTATGAGTTATGCCATTATTGGAAATCTCATAAACTGTGATCTAAGATGGAGATAGAGAAAGACACATGAATTAGTTGATATGATTATCATGCATAAAACTTAATCCTGTTGTAGTAAGATTTATACAATATTTAGCCAATATAAATATTCTTTGTGCAATCACATTATTGAATAAATAGGCTTCTAAAACCTTTATTGCTTTTGAACCTGCACATTTCCCATTACTAAATCCATGCTGGAAACATTTTAAGTAGCTAAAGAGTTTGATCAGTTGATTAAACATAAAAGTAAAAATATGTATTTCCAAAACTGTATTTTATCTTCTTTGTTTCTGCAAAATAGAAATATTTAAAAAGTAACTATGGCCTTCCTCCAAACTATATGTCACATTTTTCTATTGCTTATAGTTGCTTATTGTGCTATGCTTTGGATTTGATAAAGAAGTGCTTTGGAATGCATGGAAGAATGAATCAGTAGATCAGCAATTCAATAAAACACCTTTGTCTGTTTCCAGGACTGTGGGACTACAGGGTAAGTCTCTGTGAAATAGCTGCATAATCCTGGAAACATATATCATTGATTTAATAAGACATAAGCAGATATTATAATACACTAAATTCCAAAGCACCTTTTCAAAATAGGTGGTATTACTTAAGTGGTACTGTTTTGAATTTCTCTAATTACAAATAAGCAGAAACAGAAAACGTACAGATTTAAGATATGATAAAAGATAACTATAGCAACAGAAATAGATGGGGAAAAGCCACTGGACTTCAATATAAATTGCACAAACACTCTTCATTTTTGCATGTCACAATAGTCCTGATATTTCCAGCTAAGTACATTTGATTTTCAGATATCACTATAGTTCCCCAACATACTATTTAAAATTATCAACATGTTATTATGTGTGCTAGGTGCCATTTGAATAAATTATTTTAAAATGCTTTAAATAATGTATGCTATGGATTTACCCGTGCCTGATACTGTCTTTCAAAATAAGCCATATCATCTTCTTCAGATCTCCTTAAACTGGAAGCTTGCATTGTTGTACTTGTATTTCCTTAAAGACAATAGTTTTATTAGATTTTAAAATTCATCTAAAATCTGTTTAATCAACTATAAAAATATTTTAAAATCATTACCATCTGTTAATTGGGAGTAGGCCTGCATGGAACTGGATGGACCTTGGTATGCTTTTAAAAATGGATTATCCATGTTGGTTACAGGAGCTTCTAAGAATTGAACAGAAGGTGCTCCTTAAAAGTAAACAAGCATTAACAAATTAAAATTAAAGCACTACAGCCAATGAGTGAGGTCTAGGTTAAATATTTGTTCGATTAAAATCACCAATGATATTGAACAGCATTTCTGTTAGAATTATGATGGTGTAGTATAAAATGAACAAATGAATAAGATAATAGGATGGATAAAATAGCATAATCAAGATGAATCAACACTCATCAAAAGGGTTGATTTATTTTCTACAGGTCACATCAGAATTAAAAATAATTCATATTGCATGTATCTATCTAAATGTTCTGTCATTGGTTAAATTGTCAACAAGAAAAGCTTGAAAACAGCCACTGTTAGGAAGGTTAATAGCAGATAGGTAGGTAGGTAGATATGATGTAATACATTTTTTAAAAAAATATAGAACACTTCACGAATACATTTCTTAATCTTTAAAGTACCACAAGATTCCATTTTTGTTGCAAAATGAGCACTGCTATTCATTTGGGAATATCTATGAAATAGATTTTAATAAGACTGGTGATTAAGCTGCTATTAAAGTAAAGAACAATCATAAATATATTGACAGAAGCAACAATTAAAATGTATCCTAAGATAGCTTTCTTACATCTCTGTAAAAGGGATGAAGTATGAAAAGGATAATAGTTTTTTCTGTGTCAGGACTTACCTGAAATGTACTGATAAGTTACAGATAAAGCTCAGTTTAGAGAGCCATTCCAGCAGGAGAGTCCAACAAATCCAAAGATAGAAAAAGAAGAAAACTCAGGATAGCTAGGATAGCTTCCTTATATATATTGCAGAATGAAAAAAGAGGTTATTCAGATGAGGGTACAAAGTTAGATAAGAAGTCAGAACAAAAGCCATGATGGTGAAAAGGAATTGCTGCTGATTTCCCAGGCTGGCATATCCTACCAGAATGCTTAATCTTTCCTCTCTGCTGTCCTAAACTGCTGTTTCAACACAGTAAATTTCACTAACTGGATTACCCAATTAATGATATGATAGTATCATCCTCCTTGTCCTACCCTTCCCTCATCCAGAACTTAAACATGAAACTTAAACAAGAAAGTGCTTGCATGGGGAAAACAACCAACATGAGGAAAAGGAAAACCTATTGTTGCTTATTTTCTATTTTGTGTCTTCTGTTCTCTCACCTAGATACCTGAATTGATTTCAGAAATGACCTTGTCCTTGTCCTTTGCCTTCAGCCAAAATCCATTAAAACATGGTTACCAACTGACACTCCTTAATATACAGAAGATAAATAAACCAGCCTAATCAACGATCATGTTCTATTGTGAAAGATTATTTGCATTAAACACAGATTATAAAGGGGTTGAAAGTCAATAATTTCTATGTGGAAATTAAGCCTAGACAAGTATTAAAAGCCAGCATGGTGATTTAAAATCAGTGTTCACAGATTTATAAAGCTGAAGGAGGCAACAAGCTAAATTGAGCCCATGATGGAACACAGAATTATAACTTCAAATTAATCAGAAAGAAGAATTTTAAATCTATTAGAATTTCAGGTGATCTTCAAGGTAACTGCATAAATCAAAATACAGCAATCCTCATTTATTAAAAAAAGTGCAAGCATATTTGTACTAAACTCTATAGTACTAAAATAGATTTCATAATCAGACATAATTACTTGAAACAGTACTGATTTTGTTAGACATCCAATTAAGTTATTACAATTGTATTATTAAACTAGTATTTATTTCTTTTTAGGTCATGTTATTTGTTCAATGCATATTCCACACCTCCACTCCACCCCAGTTTCTTCCAGGATTTCTAAGTAAAACATATAGCACGCCAATGCTAGTCTTCCCCGAAACTTCCTAGGATAAGTTGGCTGAGAAATACAGAGGCAATTGGGCATAATTTTTTAAAAAAATCATTAATTTCATCCTTACCTATTCCACTATCATCAAGTCTCATGTAGCCTTCTGCTAAGGAACTAAAACCTGTTAGTCCCCCCATTGCAGCATAAGGGACATCTTTTCCAACTGGCTTTCCTTGGGCTAAACGTTCCTCTTTTGTTTCCACTATTGTTTCATGAGAATATGCTGGCTGGCCACATCCACAAGTAAAGCAACTGTGAAACCCTGCACATTTGGAACCTAATGCAAAACATATTTTGAAAAAGACAGAATTTGTTTGAAGGATTTCCACTCAATGTCAATTTTGCTTGCTGTAGCCTTGGTGATACAAACAATTGCTACAACTGAAACCTTTTAATATTCATATGTACATGAGGAAAAAGGTAATAATTACAAGATAATTATTTCTACATCTGGAATCATAAACATTACTATTCTTTGCTTAGATAATAACTTGAAGGTGGGCTCTAATTTTGCAAGGAGTTGTCTGATAATAGAAACAGTCTTATTGTGTATTCCTGAAAAAGACTACACTGAGAATCTCATATCTGAAAGCAGCACATATTTGAATATTGTGTATCATTATGCAAGGTAACCAGATTTAAAGTATTTATTTATTTATTTAGCCTATTTGCTTGCCACTTCAATCAAAATTTACACTTGGCAGCTCACATAAAAATACAATATAAAACAAATCCAATTTTAATGAAAAATAAGACAAAAAATAGAGAATAAAAGATGGTGACAACTCAAATCAGAGACCTTCCAGAAAACTCAGTCTTCCGAAGTTTATGGAAACCAACAAAGAAAAACCGGCCAAATCTTCCCAGGGAGACTATTCCACAATATTGGGGCTGCAACAGAAAAGCAGCACCTCCTTACCTCAACTCCCTGAACCTCCCAAAAGTATGGAATTTGCAGCAATTTTTCATGACTAGATCTAATCAGGCAAGCCAAAGCTGGCTGAAGAAATATTTATGGTGAATCTTGAATTAGTTTCCTGATGCAGAATTTGAAATGTATTAGTTATTTCCAAAGCAATAGATATACATTGTTATGATACTGAGATAGTATTTAAAGAAAGGTATCTGTGGATAGTAGTTAACTCTTAAATATGAATTACTCATTTAATCCATGTACACTTACACATATTGCATAGAAACCCAGTTGCTGGACTATGCTGATCTGCAAAGTGCTTACATCTACAACGGATGGGCTGAGTGCCAATAAGAGGAACAAAATGATAAGATTTGCATGGGCACCGGCTCACTCTGCAAGGTACAGAAATAGGACGTTCTTTTGGAATCACTTCAAAATCTGTTTTGTGTTGTTTATATCTAGGAAAAAAATTAAAAATGCAAATATACTGTTTAGTTACTATTATTAGAATATTTAGGAATCCTTTTATTCAAAGAAATTCAATTATTTTATAAAAGGTGCGAGGCCAGTACAATTTGGCAGAATCTTCAGAATCTCAACTTTTATCCCAGATTTGGAGAAAATATGCACCAATCTTTAACTCAGCAGTCCCCAACCTTTCCAGTCCCTAACCTTTGCTGACTGGTGGGGGGAAGAGGGGATGATTCCACATGAGCGGGCACAGGCGCCTACTGTTTGTGCAAGTGGAGCTGTGCGTGCATGCTCTCGCCTGCTGCTTTCGCAGCCTGGTTCCAAACAGGCCATGGCCCATTATTGGGGACCCCTGTTTTAATTGATTCCTAGAATTGCTCAATTTTCTATTTGTAATTCCAAGAAATATTGAGGCTTCCAAAGTAAGAACCTCTGAATGAATCCTTCCCAGCAGAATTATTTGGAATGAACTTTGTCCTGAACTGAACATAATCCAAAATGGATAGTCAAAATTTCTCAATACTACAACCCTACATTTATTTGACTTATAAGTAAATAACATAGAAAAAAAGACCAAGGTCATAAATTTTGCCCTGTTGAAAAACTCAGACGTGTGTGAGTATATGTATGTGTACACACATACTGTGTTTAATATATTTAATTATATATCAGAAGTGAAGAATGAACAGATTGGCACATTTCCAGGACAAAATGTTTCTAACTTAATAAAAGGAATATGAGCTGTTAAACTTTTACTTTCTCTCGGTTTATATTTGTGAATCCAACCAATAGCAGAGAAATATGTACAATATTCTGTGCACAAAAGAGTTGTTACTGAGTCTGATAGTACAGACCAGCAGAGTACAGTTATTGGGCCATTACCATTCAGAGAAAGATAAGGCAAAGCACAATAATAATTTTTTTTTTACTTCCCCTAATACGATGAGGCAGAAAAAGAAATCTGCCTCCATTTTTTGCATTTTCAACAAATGCAAAACCACTCTTCTGTTTTAAAGATAAAAATAATTTGTGGGAGTATTAGTCTTCCTTTAGTATATTAAATATATGCAATATATATGACTATTAAGACACAGGTTCTCTAATCAACAGCATTTTTAACCTAAGATAAATTTCAGTGCATCATCCATTGGCATAGATATAGAATGCCTCACCTGTGGGAACAAAAGCAGGGTGTTTCTGGACCCACGAGTTTACAGTCAATGCCAGTTGGAGATCTCCAGCTCACATACAATCTATTTTGCAACCGAATTGGTAATACTTGTTTCTTATATTGTTCATATTCTTCCGGAGTAAACAGTTTCCCACCGTCATCTTCTCCTACAATTCTGCAAAAGTGTTGATTTCTGTAATACTTTACATTACATATTTAATTAAAATTATAACCAACGATCCTTTTAATAATATGCACATAGAACACAGGGACAACGTCATATCATGAGTGAATGAGAGAAAATATGAATATCTGGAAATTCTAAGTCTGAAAGGAAGTAGAGTGAATACTGCCCATTCCCCTGCCCATTCTCTCTGGCCAATGGGCTCCTTGCCAAGGAATCCTTTGTCCCAGGCCTTTGGCAACACAGGACAGATAGCTGCCAGCCAATCAAGTGGGTGGCAGGCAGAGGTCACAGTGCTGCAGGGGGGCAGCAGGTGATGCGCAATCACAGGGGCTGTGTTGTGGGGCAGCAGGCAAATAGCACTGGCACTTCTCCAAATCCGGGGGAGGAAGGGTGGGTGGGCAGGCAAATGGCAGGGCCAGCGCAGCTTCTCCAATTACAGGGGGAGCGCAGGAGACTGGCATTCTGGCCTGACACACAATAGGGAGTTGGCCTATTGCCCCACACCATGCCCCCTCCCCCTGCAATAGCAGAAGCCGTGCCAGCGTCATTTGTCTGCGCAACCCACCTTTTCCCCCCACAACCGCTGAAGCTGTGCTGGCCCTGCCATTCACCTGAACTCTCCCACAATCGCTGAAACTGTGCCTGCACTGCAATTCACCTACGCTCCCCCCGCAATCGCTGAAGCTGTGCTGGTCCTGCCTGCGCACCCACAATATAGCCCCTGCGATCTACCATCACACGCTGTCCCCCTGTCAGCACCATGGCTTCTGCCTGCCACCCACACAATTGGCTGACTACTATCTGTTCCATGCAGCCAAAGGCCCAGGACAAAGGGTGCCTCAGCAAAAGAGCCAGGCTGAAGGACATGGGGTGGAGAGCAAGAGGCCCATTGGCCAGGAAGAATGGGCGGGGGAGGGCCAGCCGAGGAGGAACACTAGCGGTAAATGAGCAAAAGCAAGGGGCGAGAGGTGAAGGAGGCGTGGCCAAGGGTGGGAGCCTAAAGGTCCCATTCAGGTCTCTCAGAGCTCTAAAGCTGCCAGAGAATGTTATCTTGTGGTTTCCTCATGAAGAGCAGCTGTCAGGAGCACATGTGGGTGTTCGCAAGTCCTTTCCTTGTCTGGAGAGGAAGAGTCAGTCTACACAGCTTTTCACTGTGCCATGATCATCAGCTCCATGTATTCAGTCAGATATTTCTTCCCCTGAAGTCAGGCATATTATTTTCTTACTTCCTACCCGTACAATAAAAGCTAAGAAATAGTAATTACTGGAATGGTTGTCTGGGAAGTAGGGAAGAACATGGTATGCAGCAACAGTGAGTGATTCAGCTATAAGCCATAGTTGTATTCACATAAAATTCTAACCAATTGTTTATATCATTAATTCAGATAAACATGCGTTCAATGAATCATAAATTAACTACATTGGCTGGATTTTCATAACACACAGGCCACAATTATATATTTTAGCTTGGCATGTTCTGCAAACTCAGACAAGAAATCTAGAGTAGTAGCACTGGGATAGTGCAATCATTTAACAATCATTCTACTTGAGTTGCTTTCCAAAATTCAATGTCAATGTGTATAATTGCAAAATAGAAAAAACAAATCAATAAAATTCAGTCAAAGAGACAAAAATAAAAGCATGATGCACCTAATGTATAAAATAAAATTAAAATATCTTTAAAATAAGCACAAGTATTAATAACATCAACCAATATCACCTTTCATATTTCATATCCCCAATCTTAATATATAGCTTCTATGGCTTTAGCATGGAGTGTATATCTAGTCAATGAATCAAAGCACATACTAAAAAGGAATCAGATGATAACATTCTAAATACATAATTTATACCAGAACCCACTTTGAATTCATGTTTAAATGTTCATGCATAATGTGAGAAGAGCTCCAGCATGGACCAGAACATTGGGAATACTGTAGATGCACCCCCTCCAAAATTTCTTAGCCTTTTCAGCAATTTATCATTATGATTGCTGCTGGGCATTATGTAGATTAACTAATTGAAATATTTTCCTTATCAAAATGAAACCATCTTTTTAGATGTTCTATAAAAATGACCACAATAATTTTCTTTTTAATCATCAGGATGAGGCACCAAATATGTGGTAAAGTATTAATCTAGAGTCAGACTGAACTCTGCAAACAGCCAAAATGTATAATTATCCCAGCTAAATAAGAAGCAGTTATTTTGATTGGAATATCACTCTCCTTATCAGATTGTTCTTGGGAGAGTAGTGTTTGCTAATAAAGATGAATGGTGTGTGTTGGCGAAAAAATATATCTATATATATGTTTGTAACAGCCACAAGGAAATTACCAAACTACTTTGGATAGCATCATAGTGAAGAGCAGGCTGCATCGCACCACAAGCAAATCAATGCTGGATAACAACCTCAGTTGGATACCAATTGCAACACTGGATAAATGATATAACTCAATTCAAAGAAGTTAACTAAGAAAAAAAAACAGTGTGTTAAAGCATATGGAAAGCAGCTGAAGAGGCCTTCATCCTGCAATAAACTGATTGTGATGAGTAGTTAAATTGGCACTAGAATCATTCACTCCTTTTCTGTTCCCAATTTACCCACTCACTCTAGTATACCTTGAAGCCTGAGAGGGAGTGTTTTCTGGGTACTATTCTAGGCTCCTGACTCTTACTTCTTAAGACTACTCAGTTTAGATCAAGCAGCTTGACTTAGGATAGGTAACAGTTCTTTGGGGCCTGATTGGAGCAGAAAATGAATCAGAAGTGTTCCAGTTAAGCACCATATGATTTCATATATTAGCTTGTGATGTAATTAGCTAAGTGGCTCCAGCGCTTGTGCAAACCCAATTCATAATAGTGTGTATATAATGCACTGTTATAGACAAAAAATAGTTTATTCAGTGAACCACAGTTTAGATTGTTTTGCAGTAACACAGTCAAAATGCTGAAGCCAAAACGCTAGAGTAGAATGGAAATTCCCTATTGGAAAATGGGGCTTAAGTCTAGACCTTTCTCTAAATCTTGGCTGCTAAAGAGCAGTATATTTAGAAAGTGAAGAAATGTTTTCCATACATGCCCAGGAGACATTTATTTCTTTATATGGCCCAAGACCGCTAAGTCCAAGGGAGCTGTCCTGTGGTTTGCTGAATCAATTAGGTTGGGTGGAACCGCATACAATAAATCCGTCAATTCCATTTTATCCAATCCCTAAAATGTGTTCCTGGTTCAGGTCAGTAAATGAAGTTTGCCGTAGAGTTTACAGAATAGCCAGGCTATGAGAACTGGCATACAGAAATCCGAACCGCCACCAGACTACAGCGTGGGTCTTCAAACGTGATCTAAATAAACGTGGGTCTTTTGAGACATGCGCTTATCCTCCTCGAGGACTGCAGAAGCCTCTTCCGTACTGGGCGCCTTAGCAACGGCTTTCCCAGTCCCTCCTCGGTGGATAAGAAGCGACCTTCCAATTGGCTTCCTTACCTCTTATATTCCAAGTAGTCGTCTATGGCGGCGGCAGCCCCGGGCTGAAATGTCAGCTGCTCCATTACTTTGGGAAAAGCCTCCAGGAAGACCTGGAGACACGCGGCACGGAGCTATGGCCTAGCCGGAGAGGGAGGCGGTTCCTGTCAGGAGCTGCTGCGCCGCGATGTCACTCGGGAGGATTTGCCGTTGCTTTGGCAGCGGTTTCAGAACGTTTTCAGCGTCCGCCTTGGTTTTGAATAATTTCGTTGAAACTGCCGCTCTTCAGTCGCTACGTGAATCCTTTCAGCGACAAAATTTCAGTTTTAATCATTTTGCGATAAGGGCAGCTAGTAAAGAAATACTAGCTAGGCCGCCCTCCCTCCTGAAATTGATTTTGCAGTTGCGAGAGCCACAAACTTTGCCTGTCTAGCCTGGGTAGTTAATGCTTCAGTGCATCATGTGAACTCAACGCCGGAATGGCGATTCACTACCTATATATTATATAAACCGAGCCAGTTTGATGCAGTAGGTGATGCAGTAGGTAAGGCAGCATTTCACACCGTGGGCAGCTTGAAGATGTGTGGACTTCAACTCCCAGAATTCCCCAGAAAGCTTACACTCTGAAGAATTCTATAGTTGAAGTCCACGTCTTTAAGTTACCAAGGCTAAAAAACAATACAAAACACTGACCTACAAACCAGAAGACTGAGTTCTAAGTTTTGCCTTAGCCATGAAAGCTTGGACCAGTCCCTTTCTCTCAGCCCAGCCTAATCCACCTCACATAATTATGAGGAAAGTATATATAGTAGGAAGCAGGAGAATTTGGTATATTCCCTGCCTTGAATTTTATTTATTATATATAAGTGTGTGTTGTTTGTGTGTGTGTGTCTAAATCACTAAACCAAACTTGCTTTCCTGTTTTATTTACCAGATAGATATTAAAGTAATACTAACAATTGGAAATAGGTTGCTTTATAGGATTACAATAAAAAACCTAATTGAAACATTTGAAAAAGTAATTGAAAAAAGATCAATAGGGACTCATAGCATGGACATATATTTTATTTAACCTTTCCAGATGCTACAGTCGTGTGAAGAGAAAATCATTTGAAATTCTACATCTAGAACTCCAATCTTGTTCTTTTTCTAAATATTTTTAAACCACATAGCATATCTAAACAAAAATAGCAAAACAATCCTTTTACAAATCATTCTATATAGCTGCAAAACCCAAACTGGCACTTCATTTTATAATTTATGATGCAGAATTTAGACTGTAGTAGAGCACCTGTACCACAATTCTCCACTATAAGGCTAACATGAATATAAGGCAATGCTGATCTCTGTTCCCATTTACTTTCAAGTTCACTTGAAAAGATCCTGGTTATAAACTGTTATTACTGCACAAGAACTATCTGCAGAATAGACTGTACCCCTTTAGCATAAATTTTCAGTAAACATCAAAATGCTTCGCTTCCTATCATCAAAGTTCAACCCATTCCTCTTGTTTCTGTTTCACGAGTAACTTAAGATACAGTATGCCCTATGTATCATAGGGTGTAAAATATATTAAATAGGAAAGCAATGAATAAGCAGCTAATAGTATTCAATATCCAATTAATGTGACTCCATCACAGGTTATATTTTCAGTTACTAAATACATGTATTAAATGTTTCTGGAATAGTTATATACATTACTATTTTTTTAATCAACTGCTCTAGTTCTGTAGCAAGATTACACTTTGGCACATTGCTACTTTAAATTTTCTCAAGTGTAACTATTTTTAAAACATTCTTCCTCAACTATTTCACAGTGCAAAAAGAATTCACTCTTTGGACCACCATCTTTAAGATGGAACACATTTCAATTGGAACAAAAATCTGCCTACTAATTTTAATATATTTAACCTATCTATACTTAACAGCACTCACTTTAAAGGTATTCTTTCTTCACTATGGATTAGTAAACCAGTTCATAAGATCAAGCTAATTTCCCCACATTTATATTTATTTAGATATTAAATCTATACCTTTTCTGTAATTATCATAGAATTCTACACTTGATCTGTATAATACCTACACTTTTTTTACTCAACCTCTTTAGTTAACATGTTAAATTTACTTTCAAAATGAGGCATCTCCATATCCAGCAAAAGGTCAGTCCAAATGCTCAGACCTCGGACTTCAAAGTTCCCATCCTGGGCCTTTAGCTGTCTTAGCCAAGCCTGGATTGCACTGCCCAGAGGCTCTGGCTCCTGGTAAAGGGCACGGACACGTTCCTGCATCTCCTGCCAAGGTACTTCATCTTCTTTTAAACCACTAGTTTGCCATTTCCCATGCAGAGGGTCATAACTGAGGCAGTTTCCCCAGGCTGAGAGGAAAGTCAAATAGGAAGCAAGTAATTCAGAATAACGGGCACAAAGTGAAGCCAAACACTGGGGAGACAAAAAGCGGCAGAAGGACAAGAGACGAGATGGGTCTCCAAACAGCAACCAAGGGAGGAGCAACACCTTGGCCTCCACTTCCCAACCAGGCTCCATCAATGCTGCAGCCACAACTCTGTACAGCATGGAACCGCAAGGCAAACAGTCCAACAAGGCTGAGGAAGATCGACCTTGGTTCCCATCACCATCTCTGTCACCTTGTAGCTGTGAAAGCAGCAGCTGAGCCTGGACTCTCACTGGCAGCCCTTCCCATTGTTCAACACCAGCTATTCCTTTTACAGGAGGTTCCAAGAGACCAAGAAGTTGAGAGGCAGCTCTGTGTCTTGCCAGTAGACTGATGAAGGGCTCCACTCCACCAGTGGCTGGGATCAAGAAGCTGCAGAAAAGGCTATGGCGGGTAGTAGAAGGCAATGCCGGATTTTCCAGCAGTGCCAACCCCAGAAGCTCTGGGCAGCGCTTCAAGTGACTTAACCTGATTAAACCTCTTTTTTTCAGCTGTTTCTTCAAAGCTTCCCGGAGAGTTGGCTGAGCCCGAAGACGTCTATGAAGTTGCCGAAAGAAGTGCCCCCAATTTAGAGCTCGTGTTAGGGTTGTGGGATCCCAAGTTTGTACCATTCGTGAGCGGGAGGCTGCCAAAAGGCTAGGCAGCCGCTCAGTTTGTAAGAGCATCATCTCCATGAGGCAGAGAGCAAAAATCCTTGTTCCTGTCAAATGGCAACCTCAGAAGAAAATGTTTTCTTTTGCTAAGAGATCACTCCCTAGAAATACTATTTGATTTCTGATTGCTCTTAAGATTTGGGTTTCATATAGAAAATTTCTGCTGGTTGATCTGTTGCTGTATGTATAGTTTGCAATTCATTCCATCAATTTCTTCATTTTTTTTCTTCCTATTATGTTAGTCCTCTTTTTCTTTTGAAGGAATTTTGAAGGTAGTTTGATCTTTGATATTGTGTGTGTGTGTGTTACCTACTTATCTTCCTACATTAGTTTATTACCAATATACCTTTTTAGAAGTTACAATACAATGTTGCTTTATGAAACAACTTTCTTAACACAAAGGTTTTTAAATAAAGAAATTGGGTCTCTATACATTCATTTTTTTTCCTGCTGCAACTGGATTAGCCAACTGTTTGCTTCTCTCCTGAAGAAGAATTAAATCTAAAGCAGTTCCAGCAATGCAAAATATTTTGACTATTATCTTATATTGTTTGCTGCATTTACTCGTTTGCTTGTAGCTGATGGCATTAAGTTCCCATTTGTAGTATTTGTTGTTGAACCATTTACAACCATATAATCAACCTTGTTTTCCAGTTTGACCAAGCGTTGCAAGATATCATCTAGAAGAACTGCAATTGTTCTTTTCAGATCCGCTAAAGGGAAAAAAAGTATATTCAGAAAGTGATACTACGCAGGGAAAATCTCATGTGACAAAATAATTGTTTTCTCATTGTGTTCCTGGTTATAACTTTTTCTGTATCTGTTTAATATATGGAAAAAATATAGTATATGCAAACTTTTTAAATATACTGTTTATGTACTATTTTTCCATTTTAATTTTTTTCTTTGCTTTTCTTAAACAGATTAAATGCTATACTCTTTAGAGCACAACATTTTAAGCTTTCATTTGTAACAAAAACACTAAACTGTATAAATTTAGAGTTGTCTAAATAAACGATTTACTTACCTAATATACTTCTGTAAACTTTCATAATAATACAGTGAAAGTCATTCTTTATATGTAAACAGTAAAAAAAAAAATCACATTTGAATTTCTCCCAAATCCTTTATTGTTTCAAAAGTTCTGGAAATGTTATATTTCTAGTATTAGACAAAAATCTATATTATTCAAAGTAAAATGTTTCTAGACATACCATACCCAATGCCAGTATGTCAACTCTTTAATATTAAGAGCAGTCTAATATTTCTTAGAAATGAATATTATACGGTATTTTCAGCTTCAGTAGAACATTGAAAATGTAGCAAACATTAATTCTACTTTATAAATATAAAACTTCTTATGCTTTTAAAATAATATTGCTTTATATATTTTGAAAAACTAAACTGAGGATGAATTTACAGAGATTATGTAGGCTTACCATATCCCGCCATTGCAACTCCATTATCACCATTTATTACATTCTTGTTTTCTTCTGCTAGGGCTCTAACGTATCTTTTACTTAAGTCAAGAATTTGTTCACGCAATTCAGCACTGCTTTGTTGCCTTGGATGCTGAAAGGTGTAGCGCAGTAACATTATGCCCCAGATAAAACCAAAAACTAACAACAATAAACTCAATTTCTGGGACACATTTTTTCTAGAAAATGCAAAAACCATTTCTGAGCAGGCTAAATATATCAGTAGAAGGTAGTAAGTGTGAAGTCACAGTATCTTCATGGTAAGTTGTTTTGCAAAACATCTTCACAGCATGCTTGGTCTTCGGGGGAGACTATTTTGTCTAATTTTTCCATTTGTTTCCTGAAATTTTTTATCAAAAAACTTGTGTCAAAATTGTTTATTTTTTATAAACTACAGTATTAATTTGGAATGTGTTATATAATTTAGAGCATTATTATTGAATCCCTGTAAAATGATTGCTGAGAATACAGGCAATTTAAGAACAAAAATCTGGTAACTTTCAAAACTATACTTGTATATGATAACAATATAATCATGAATTGGAAATCCATGGTACAAATATCCATTCAGCTATGAACTAGTTGGTGCCTTTGTGTAAGTTTTAATGTCTCTACTTCAGTTTTACACCTGTACTATGAAAACAAGGCCATTATTATCTAAAAAGATTGCTACAAAAATAGTGATTAAATACTAACTATATCAGAAAAAGCATCAGCAGTGAAAAACAAGCCATTTCATCAGCCCTGCAGATAAACCATTATCCTTTTTTTTCTCTTTAAATTATACCCAGCTGATAAGTTACGGTATGAAATCCTAAGAAATCATGTCTAAATTTATTACGTTTTTTTTTCATTCTCTATGGCAGGGGTGTCAAACTTGCAACGTCCCGTGACATGTCGTGACTTTTTTTCCATTGCCGGAAATGGGGTGAGCGCGGTTTTGCTATGATGCATCCAGTCTGTGGGACAGCAGTTTGACACCCCTGCTCTATGGTGTCTTTTAAATTGAAAGCTTGCTATCAAGGACTGTCGTTTTTCCCCGCTTTCTGAATAGATAGGCAAATGTTAGTCTTCACTTAACAACCATTCATTCAGCATCCATTTGAAGTTACAGTAGTGCTCAATAAATGACAGTAATGACTAGCTGCTGAAAATGAAGCATTTGCAACGCTCTTGTGGTCACATGATCTAAATTTGTATCCATGGCAGTCCACCCGCCTTTATGACTGCAGTGTGCAATCTTCTCCACTTGCCTGTTTACCCCTCCCCTCTGTCCTTTTGGCCACCCTGTATTCTGCCACCATCACCTAACATGCTGCTTCAACTGACTTTGCCATCTTTTTCTCCCTGCTGCTGAAGAGGTATGCCTAACCAAGGCAGCTGCTGGTCTTTCACAATGTCTCACAAGAACCAGCAGCTGCCTCAGCCAGGTGCACCTCATCAATAGCAGGAGGAAGATGGCAAAGGGCAACTGGGGGTGGCAGGCTATGCAGCAGAGTGCAGGGTAGCCAAAAGGGCAGAGGTGGGGAGGGGAAGTGGTGGTTGGGGAGAGTTGAAGTAGAGGTCAGCATGGAATGACAGGAGTAACATGAAGTCCTCACCTAACAATTGCTATCAGGAGTATTGGAATTGTTCTTGCTAAGTAGTATAATTTCATGATGTTTCACCTAACAACTGTTTTGGTTAGGGATGTAAATTCCGGTCCCAGTCAGAGTTGTTAAACAAGGACTACCTGTAAACTATCTGCAAGTGAGAAATCTGTGACTTCCCTAAAGGTTTTGTATTTCAGACTCTAAAACCCCAGGGAGCTTGGTTAACAGTAAGAGGAAACAGAAGCTACATCCACTCTTTAGAATAAGCCCCATTAGAAAAAAACAGAACTATTTATGTAGGAAGTACAGTTAAACAGTGCTTTATCTGACAGTTTTCCATTGCAGATTACTCTGTTAATATGAATTAACATAAAATAAGTACTAATAAGATAATAAATTAGGAACACCTACCATTTTACAATTCTGTTGCTTTAGTTGGAGCTGTCCTCAACTAACCAATATTCCAAGATAATATTTGCATCCATGCTCAGCTCAATATCATTTTGAGTAAACTCAAGGATTATTTAATCCGTTATATTTACTCAGCCTAACGCAGTTCTTATTTTTCAGAATTAAGAGTAGCACAGTTTTCTGGTCAAATGATAACCATTTAGGAGAGGGAGAAACATCTGAGGAAAAAGACTTAAAAAAATAAGAAAACTTGTTCAGGTTATTATGTTACAAATGTAGGCTTGAGAAGAAATTTTAAAAGGCATATTGGCACTTTAAATATATATTTTATGATCCTCTAGTATAACCAGGAAAACGATATTAAAGATGCCAAAATATCAAAAATCACATATTCCAAACTGCCCAAACCCCAATGTATAGTTTATAAGAAACAATTCTCTCAAAATTCTTGTGTTTTCTTCAGCTAGAAATAAGCAAGAAAAAAATTAGGGTTGTAGGTAAAGTTCAGAATTACACAAAGCTCTTTAGGTGATTTTTGGGTCTTTTATTTTCTTTATGAGACTCTCACAAAATGTAAATACATTATTAATCTTACAATAGCCTTTATATATTAGCAAATTACTTATTACTGGTCTAATGTTTTTTGTATGTTAACAACATTAAATAGAAAATACCTTTGCAACTAGTATAACTGTATCAACAGAAAGACACCAATTTTCCCTTTTTGTAATCACATAGAAAATTATTTTAAGTAGTAAACACCATTAAATTGAAAGAATTTAAAGACCTGCCAGCAGGTTATGTTCATCTAAGTTCACATGTCCCATTGAGATAATAAAAATAACAAATTCAACTTCATAAAATTACATATTTTCAAACAAATTAAATTTTAGTACTTAATGCTTTTTTAAATCTACCAGGAGGAAGAGGTCTTTAAAAAAAAACTATTCACAATCTATATTTATTTCAAAATCTGAAATATAGATAAATTGAGGGAAGCTTGATTGAAGGAAGGCACAAGATTCAAGGAGCAAGGAAATGAAATACTAATATCTTATTTCATGAAAGCTATCAAGAAAACAACCCTTATAAGGCACAAAGAACGTGCAAAATCGCCACGGTACTTAAGAAAACAAAGACTATGGTTGTGTATATTCACACACGTGATTATCATAGCTTAACCATGATCTATTTAGTCCCAGTTTATTGGATTGTACATTGAACCAAAAACTACACGCACGAATTAAGTTCGCGCCAGATGCTAGGTTAGAACTTGGCTAGCTCGTTTCTGTATCAGTACGTCATGCCAACATACACGCCCAGAATTGTTCTTTACAAACACAGTTGTTTTTCATCAAGCGACTCACACAAATCTATTAATCGCCTATCAGATTTTTTTTTTCTCCATGGGTTTCACGGTGCAGGCAAAGCTTGCGACGGGCAGTCACCAAAACCTCGTCCGCCCTTCCGGCACTCGATCTCTTTCTCCCCTTTCTCCAGATGTGTTCTCTAAATCCAAGTGTGAACTATAAGTTACCATCGAATCTCGCACATCCTGCCAGCGTACCACACACAGAGAGCAAGCATCCCCTTACCTGAGCATAGATTTCAGTCAGCACCTCCTGACTGCGCAGCGCATAGGGACAACAGCAATTGAATCATATCCAGGCCGCACTTCCGGCTGCTGGTGGAAAAAAGGGTAAAATTACCATATGCGGGGTGGAGCAAAAGAAAGGCAACGGAAACCACACGTTTGAAATGTTGATATTTGCTCCTAATTTTAAAAGTACGTTGATTTATTATAGTGCATTATTTTTTGCAATACACTTACTGAATTTACAATGAATTCTAACAGTTTCTATTTTTTAAATTTTTATCCATCTGCTCTTTCTTTTCAGCCTTTTCTATAGTATATGAATTTTACCAACAAAACACTTCACAAGTGGACAAAGTTTCCTAGAAAGATTAACTGCACAAAGATTATGGTTGTGTACGTTCACACACGTGATTATCATAGCTTAATCGTGATCTACTTAACCCCCGTTTATTGGATTGTACATGGAATCAAAAACTAGACCTACGAATTGAGCTCAAGTGGAGAGTATACAGCCACATGTCTGTATAATTAATTCAGATTCTTATATGAAGTGGGGAGTTGGATTGGTGGCACAAATGACCTCGTCCCCTTCCATGATTCCATGATGCCCCTATAAATTGTTGGGAGTTTGATTGCAGTTAATTAGATTTATATCTCACCACACAATAGTTTTTGTTTACATGAGGCACTGAACCATAAACTAACCACCCATTATATAAATCCAGCTTGTGTATGATTATGTCTATGGAGATTCTCAGTCATCCAGGTCATAGTTATCCCAAAAGTACTTTTTTCACAAGGCAACTGGACTTTTGTTTGTCTTCGAAGACATTTCGTTTCTCATTGAAGAAGCTTTTTCAGCTCAGAGAAAGCACCTTTGGGATTGTGTATGATTAGTGTGAGGAATAAAATTCAACTCCAAGATTGGAGTTGGAATACTGCATCCAGTTTTGGTCACCACGATGTAAAAAAGATGCTGAGACTCTAGAAAGAGTACAGATAAGAGCAACAAAGATGATTAGGGGACTGGAGGCTAAAACATATAAGGAACGGTTGCTGGAATTGGGTATGTCTAGTTTAACGAAGAGAAGGATGAGGGGGGACATGATAGCAGTGTTCCAATATCTCAGGGGCTGCCACAAAGAAAAGGGAGTCAAGCTATTCTCCAAGGCGCCTGAAGGCAGGACGAGAAGCAATGGGTGGAAACTGATCAAGGAGAGAAGCAACTTAGAACTAAGGAGAAACTTCCTGACAGTTAGAACAATTAACCAATGGAACAACCTGCCTCCAGAAGTGGTGAATGCTCCAACACTGGAAGTTTTTAAGAAGAGACTGGACAGCCGTTT